TTTCGCTACGCCGATATCAGCCGCATATAAGATTGACAGTAATGTCTTAAAATTTGTACGCCGCGGAGCTGCGTCTATTTAGAATTGCCAACTTCTTATCTGCAAAGTGTCAGACCGGCAACGTGTTCCCCATCGCATCCACTCGGGATGATATTTTAGGATCCATTTTCAAGGGGAGCGGCTTCCGTTCGCGTGAGCGCGGCCTCGCCGTTTCCGAGGACGTTTCGACGTGACGCGGACGCCGCTCACTAAATTTAAAGTTAAATTAGATGGGCCCTCGTACGATTCACGTCTTTAGCGAATTGGTTGGCGATAAATCAAGCCACGCACCTGTTCCGCACTTGATTCGTCGCCAACCGATGCTGGAGATCAATCACGGCGTGTCGTCGGACATTACAATCGAGCGTAACGCAGCGGACAGAATCCAGGAATTTCGCTCACGCGAAATTCCATAAATCCAGAGCCACTTGTATAATGAATTGCGATGTGAAATAAGGCGATATGAAATTAAGCCGTACAATGATTAATTCGAACATGGAGCTGACAAACGACGGTCGTTGAATAAGCTAGGACGTGTTTAATAATGAAAAAGAAAAAAAGATATGTAATTTCTATATCTGTTTTATTATCTTAATAAATCGGCAATTTCAGATCTTTATTAATGCACGTAACATTTTAACTTTTCAATTTTACAAATGCAACACTCTTTAACTTTTTAAATAAACAGTTTGTCACATCTAACGTATTAACGGATGAGGAATAATATTAATTTTTTAAAAGACAATTTAATTTTTGACAATAATTAATAATTTAAATATAAGGATGAAATAACATTGCAAAATTTCTTCTTGACGCAAGAAAGACAGAAATAGTTACTAAGCTTTTCTGTAGCAAACCACGCCCAAATTTATTGAGACTCATCGTTAAGCTACGAATCGATTCACATTTGTTTTGATTCTATCAGCATCTTGAGATAACATCGAAGAGTATACGTTGCATAACGTTATTTATGTTAGGATATAAATACACCGGATGTAGAGGAGAAAGACATACATCAGAGAAGAGCACTGACGTAAAATGATGTATCAGAATGATGGATTGAATCGCAACTATAAATACTGTAGGAGTCATACATTAAAAGCTTTTGAATGATCGATATGGTATCGAATATCCATAATTAAACAATAAAAATTGTGTATGTTTTTATAATCCAAGTTCATTATAAGATACATTTGACGGTTGATTATTGTTTACTTTCTTCTACATACGACGTTACGGAATGTAATCTTAATTATTCCTTTACCATAAAAGAGAAATATATAAAAGCTCTGATCTTGATTTTTTACATTTCATACACTGCATATTATTTTGCTCGTATAAAAAATAGATGTATATTAAAATGTGAGTTTTTTTTTTTTATTATAATAGAAACGTCACGCCGCGCAATCGGATCGCGATTAATCGTCAATGTAAAAAAAAAAGAGGTAGCGTCTCTCTTGTCTAGAAGGAAACGTACCGGCATTCTGTTGCTGCGTTGTTTCCTCGACGACGATGACTTTTCCGGATTACGGGTGACTTCGATGATGTCGAGTAGGAACTAAATCGGACGCTGCGCGTCGCGACGCTATATGGTATCATCCCCTCCGCCGATACTTAAGTGTTTTTGGCTCGCTGCCCAGTTTTCGGGTGGGTATTCCCACACCCCCGCTCGTAACCAGATCTTGACACCGCGGCCCTATTTACAGGACACGACGTGACCCTAAATTAAATTATGATTCGCTTTTGGACAGATCTGGGAAAGTCGTCTTGGCATTGCAGACGCATCGTATTTTATATTGTTTTACACCGACGCTAAAAGCGACGAAAACAAAATAACGACGAACGAAAATTCCGGTGCGAGAAGGAAGACATTGAAAACCGAATAAATGGTTTTGTTCGTTACTTCCAGACAATATAAATGTTATGTGTGAGATTTGCTGGAAATATAAATAAATTTACACACTAAAGGAATGTCCTAAATTTCAATAAATATATTTGTTCGAATAGTACTAAATACTTGCTAAGTGTAAACATATATTTATTTAGTACAAGAATCTTATACAATGTGATTTAAGTATCGTTTCTTTCAATCGGCAAATATTTATTTACTGACGCAAATAAATGTTCAATAATTAGTTATATTTTTAATAAATAGAATATTTATTAAAATTTAGTAAATTTTTTCAACATATGTATGAAATTAATTAAGAAATTTACACAATATATGTATATATATGTATGCAAATGTATTTCTTTCCACTTATGAAGCTACTTTTAGCAGAATTTCGTGATTTGACAAGTTAGAAAGTTTTCTTATACTGACAGCTGCGTAACATCTGATGTAGCACTCTATTTTTAGTGTGCATATAGGACGTGTTCTCTAAATCATAATCTTAAATATTCGAGCATTTTAGCATTAATTGTTTAAACAGTTTAAAATGCATAAAGGGAACCAGTTCAGCGATTCGCAAGATTGTATAGTATACAGTTTGCCTTATCGTGTTCGATCGCGCACATTAGTCGTAAGACTTATTTTTGCACTTATAATCAATACAACGTGTTTAAAGAACGACAGAGAAAGAGAACGAAATATATTCTTAAAAACATTTGAGCTTCACTTTCCACTTTGAAAAGAGATTCAAGATCATTTCAAGGACATCAGTTTATCGCTTAATATCGAAATAGATACAAATAGATATTTACTTTCAATAGGGAGGGAGGAATATTTATTTTCAATTTGTCTAAATAGATAGAGAAATAAGGAGATATAACAAGAAGCAGATTCAAAGCTGAACATTACGAAATATCGCTTGCGACTTTTAACGAATTCGTCATCTTATGGAATATTTCTGTGAAGCGAAAAAATTCGAACAAGTGGGTGCAATTTGCCGCGTATGTTTAACATACGTGGACATTCGCCAGATGGAAACGCCGATACGTGAACGTCATAATTTCTGGACCTCGTCCACTTCGAAGGGTGATGCCACCGCCGAGTTTAGATTTCGTCAATCGTCGCTGTTTCCAAGTAATGCGACGGATCTGCGTAAATGTCTGGAGCGACTTACTGATGCGTCTGCCTGTTCAAAATATTATATAAATGCGATAACAAATGGCACGTCGTCTCCTCAAAATAAATGATGTGTGTGAGACAGTTTAGAAATATATAATATAACCTTGAATATTGACGCGATAATATAATAAATATACAAAACAATAGAAGTTTGAGAAAAATATTTATGAGATATTTTAAATAGAATCATTTTTATTTTTCTCACAAATTATTGTCAATTTATTTTGCGATTATTAAAATAAAACATTGCATAGAGAAGATATTTCGCTTTAATATTAAGACATATTTATATATATTAAAATCTGTACCAATTTGAAAGTACAATAGTATTAAAATCTTAATTAATTCCATAATCCGATATAAATAATCGTTGATATTTTATATCATAATCGTTAATTAAACACAACACATTATAATTTCAAACAAGTTTGTGATAAGAATTAAAAGATATAATTTTATCAGTATTGGTATTCCAAGAACTTTTATTATAAAATATTAAGATAAATAAAGGTTCTTATAAACAAAAACCTGCATAAGAAACAATTGAAAAATTATATTGCAATACGTGCAGGAGAGAAAGAGAAAGAAAATGTGAGTAGAGCGTGATGAAAGATAAAGACGACGAAACTCAGCGCGCGCCGTTCGAATACGCGCGTTCTCGAGCGTGCGTTACCTCCTGCCGTCATGCGATCCTGTTCGGATATATTTTCTTGCAAATACCCGGCTACCTTATCTGTTAACAATAGCAAATTGTATACACGTGAAATGGACGCCATGGATGGGCGAGTCCACTGCGCAATGTATCAGACCATCTCGGCGCATCATTTCGACAGCTGGCCTCTTAGTTTCGAGAACGTGCGCTATGTGGCGCGCACGCGATCAATTTTCTCGTCTTTAAAAGTACTCCACTACTAGTATGAATACGAGACCGAGAGACGAGTCTCGTTAGCTTTGCGCAGTGGCGATATCGTAACCAATGAAGTTCTACTGAGGTGCGATTATTGCTAGTTGAAAACTTTTACCAATACCCCGCCATGACGATGTGAAATACCATCGGCTACGGCAATTTTTGAAAGTTTCTGCGGAAACTGATCATCGAATTCAAACATAATTACTTGCTGTTCGATTGTTGTCTTACTTGATCAAAAAGGCAAAGAGTTGAACAACAATAAAAATTAAACAGGGAACAAAAAGCACATTTGTAGAATTAGCCTAAATGTTCTTAAAAACAACAGGGTTTTCATCTCTACGGATTTTATTCGATAGACTAGGCATGAACTCTGTCTTCATGAAAAACTTCGGACTCAAATTTCTGTGTGCATAACGAATCCTAAGTTTGTGCTATTTTTACATGCTTAATCTTTTGTATATTTTTCTCAGATATTTTATGTAATAATTATTATTTAAAAGAAACTCTTCGTTGTACCATTAAGAAAAATAAAATATAAAACAATGCAAGAATATATATATATTAATTTAATAATAATCACAGGCTTTTCTTCAATTCATTGATTTATTCATTTTAGAGCCTTAACTGAATTATTTAAATAATCACTATATTATAGTGTGTCATAATTACTTTAGTTCTATTTTTAATTATAAAAATAAAATTATTAAAATATTGTCAATGATTTAAATTTGCGTTTTTATAAGAGAAACATAAAAATAAATATAAATTCTTACTTTCCATTAAAAATATCTTTGTCTATAAAAAAAAATATAAAATAAATTATATTTATCTCTCTCTTCTGTTTCTTCTGTTGCTATAAAGCCGTTTTTAAATAGCATGTATCATCTTGATATCGATATTATAGAAACAAAAATTTTCAATACAACATATTTCTTTTTCAAGATAAATTTATAACTTTTATAAATTTCTTTCTAATTGTAGGTTGCTGGCAAGCGCGAAGCAAGCCAGGAAGCTGAAGCCCAACAATGGATGGAGACTGTAATCGGTCGAAGATTTCCACCAGGTGAGTTCCCTTGTGTGCAATAATTTAATTAATATAATTCATTTTAATTCCCAGAGAAATGTTCGTTCAGTACATACATCGTATTTATACGCCGTAGATTATAAATTTTCGAAGAAGCAAACAAATACATGAATTATTATTATTATTTTTCATATTTCACAAACTAACAACATGACTCTTAATATTTATTTGTTATGAATTAGATGTAACGTAGTCTTATAATTATATTTATGTAAGTATGATAAGTACTGAGTTATTAAATAATCAGTTTATTACTTTTTTGAGATATTATAAAAAATAAATGTTGCTCTTATAAAATAAATATTTAATATATTTTAACGCGTTTTTTTTTAAATAAAAATGAATATAATATGATGATAATATTGACAGTTCTATATAAAAGCCCTGACATTTAATGACTCTACGAACGCATATGAACTCCTGTTCCGCGTAGGTGACGCGAATCCGAAAGCCTTTCGATGTTTTCATCCCCATCGAGACGACTCCACTAAAGGGGTGGAAGCGCTTGCCGTTATCTAACTAGAATCACATAATTGCCGGATACAAATGTCAGGTCGCGTGACGTTGCAAAGGTTAAGCTTCGTCGAGGTCAGTTCCCCTAAATAGTACACCCGTCATGTGATCGGAAATGCAACCGGTGACGAACTGCCCGATGCGGAACGATATTGATTTCGAATGTTTGGCGGCACAGCTGATGTAAAATGCGTGCCGTAACAATATCTTATATGAACGTCCAAACTCGCGCGTTACGTAACGCCTTATCGTAATGCCTTTAATTGTCAAACAGTTTGAAGAAGTAGAGATAAATACAAACGTATAAAAGAAATTTGCATGTAAAAATCAATCTGTGTTTCATTAATATTCGTGTTAAAAAAAAGAAAGGCCTGTATTATTAATTACAGCGATATTATGACTTTTTATTTGTGTTTGTAAATTTTTTTTTTTTAATTTGTGTAAGGATTGTTGACAAGTATACGAGTGCGACGAGCCTTCACGAAATGTTATTCATTGATTCGAATAAAAATTGAGTGCGATTAGAGACCTACATATACAATACATACATACATGGGAATTGTGTTAACATTTTTTACGAGATTACTGAACTCTGACCGAACTTCTAAGGGTAGTTTTACCCTCCTGTTGCGTTATATTCGCCTGGCAAAAGGCGCGCTTTGTTACGTCATTGCGAGCGTACCCTTATCGATCGTGTCTTAGTGGACAACCCCCGACTCGACATGCATCCCTGTTGCGACAAACACGCCGGACGTAATCAACTTTATCGGGTTTTACTTCGGTTTTCACTGAGGTTTTCACGATGCTTATTAATTAGAAAGTAATAGTTAATATACGTGACAATTCCTAAGTGACGTATTATTCTCAAAACGTATAATGGTAAAATTATATAATACAAGTGAAATAAATATAAGTAAATATATATATATATATATATATATATATATATATATATATAATTAAAATAAAGCGTTATGTGAGGGAAAGAGAGAAAAGAGGGAATTTTTATCATTTATTAGAAAAACTTTTGTTAAATTATTGATTGAACAATTATTGTTTGGTAATTTATAGTAATAAATAGAATAAAATATTATTTATTTATTATGCTATTTCGTCTCTCTATTAAAGACGTACATAATCTCTCTATAAAAAGTGATACTGCAATTGAAAATATACTTTTTATATAAAAATAAATATTATACATATAATATTACGTAAATATATATACGAAATAGTTCAATTGAGTTATTTATATTTAACGATACAACTATATATAAGTTTAAACAAAAACTTCTATTTTATCTTATAATTACACTTCTTAAAAACATTTTATGACCTTTAAAAATTTATTAAAATAATTTTTATAATGTATAAGCTCTAAATTACTGCCAAACAAATCTTTTGTGTTGTTTATAAATACAATGTAGGGAATTTTGTAATTATTTTATAATTTTTTATTTTGTTAAAAAATACGTGTAATATATTCTTAAATTTAAGAAGGGTTGTTGAATAACGAATTTAATAATTTCACGTTTCTACCGTGTTTAAATAATCGCGAATCAAAAGAGGGATTTTTCGTGACGAGCTTAATAAATTCTCAGCGGAGGTCCACATTGCTCCTAAGTTATCACAAAAGCGACCGGCTATCGCAAACGCGGATGTTTCCATCACGTTACCAAAATCTTTGGGTGGGCAGGAACTTGAGATGTAACCGATAATGCTGATTACGTCGAGTGTTTAGATTTAACGAGCCTCCACCTACGACTGTCATCCTGGTTGTGCCGAGGACGCGGTGGAGGTGGCCAAACGACGAAACCACCCCCACTCGGGTACATGATTAATCCCCACTGGGAACCTTCGGTACTTAGTCCATCTAAGTGGGGGTCTCCCCGGTCCGCAAGAAAGCTCTCTTGAACGAGTGGCAGCCTGATTGTTCGAATGAACCTTGCGAGCTGCCTGTCGGAAACACATAGAGGACTGAGTAAAAAAGAGGAATCTAGTTTCTAGATTGATATACCGATCACAATACAAACAATTTTGCGATATAATTAATTTTCCGTGACAGTACATAGACACACAGATGAAAGTTTCTCTTGGAATTTACTCTAAAAACCGTGGTAATATAATCGTGGGATAACATAATATTTCAAAAATTGTATGTACTTAATTCTCTCCGATCTATTAATATTTTCACACAATAAAATATAAAGTGTATTTATCTTATTAAAAAACATAATGAAATTGCAATAATTTAAAAAATGTTAAATAGTTTATGGATTCTTTATTGCTTTAAATTGTGAATAGATGCCAAATTGTGACGAACATGTATAAAATATCTGATGCAAATTTTACAGTATACATGATATAAAGAATCAAAACTGAAAATATGTGGCGTGCTAACTTCGCAAATCTAATACTACCTACAACACTTTCCTTCTAAAGCACCAAAAAAAAAAGGAAAAATATTTTCATTTTTAATTACAAGAGTTGACTGTAAGTAATTGATAATATAAAATGGCGACTGATATTACCTAATGTCCTATTTCCACTGATCCCTAGAGAAATAACGTTTACACGATTTCGTCTTCATCCTGCTGCTCTGGTGCTTTGAGAACGTGTATTCAGTATTCACCTTCGAGCCCCATCTTTGGCGAAACGTGTCTAGGGGTGGTTTGAATCACAATGAATGGTATACACGTATATAGAGCACGTTCGAGCTCTACGTGAGGATGCGAGCCGGATAGTCGAAGCTTTTGATGTTATTGACTCGTTTAAAATTGAACTTAAACGGTCGCGATGCAATCACACTCCTCTCACCCCGCGCCCCGCGTGCTCTTGACTCGTCCTAGACACTGGAATCCTGGTGCACTCGCGGCGGGAATTTAATGGGAATTTCAAGGTATCCCACGGGACTTCCCAATACGGATGGTAGCCTGTTCCCGGAAGCTCGCCAGGCATGCCTGGCACGATCCTCGACGGCTCTCGGTTGCGAAATATCATATTAACGACTTCGTCGCGACTTGTCTTGAATATTAATAATCGACACGTGTCGTAGAATCGAGTTACATTCGGGAGCTAGCAACGCTCATATTGCGCGATTTATTAATAAAAAAAAAATATAATCACGGGCGTGTTATGTGTTTATCGTACCTGATTGAAATTCCTCCGTCTTAATCGCAGATAAAATGTCATAATTTTAACATCGATATTTTTTTATACGTGGTACAAAAGTGAAAAAATTTAATGAACAATTAAATGGTGAACAAAGAAGTGTACGTTGATCAAATTGATATTGGGCTGGGAATGAGCTGGAGAGAGAAACGCTCGTATTTTTGTATTACCAAAAAATTCGTTTTTATATCAATTAGTAAAACAGTTCTCACGCTGATTTTAGTTTAATCAAATATACATATTTCGCCTAATACATACATATATTCAGAATGATTTGTCTTCGTTGTTATACATAGTGTTGGCGCGTTTTCGCGGACACGTGTTTCTGTCACGCTGATCCCGATAAATATTTTGTTTTTCTTCCGCCTTACGTATTGTTGCCTTTGAACTTTAGAGTCGATAGTCGACGACGCGTATTGATTTACCGTCATCTGTACATCATGTTACGTCGTAGGGACGCTGGCGTACCAGGACCGCATACAGCACTCCGGATGATCGTATACCTTGCTCTATACTAGTTTATGTGTCACCTCTCCTTCTTTCACCTCTCTTAACCCTACCTTCTTTCGCGTATAATTATCGCCCGTACTTAACTCGATGGTGGGCGTTCACAATAGACGACCGATAACGCTAACCGCAGTAATTTCTTTTGAAACGCAAAATTCTATTTTCAAAATTTAGTCCACCTAAACGAGGTCGCGGCTCACACAGAGAAAATCTAATTTAATCTTCGTGGTTATATTGAATATGTAATAACGCGTAAAATTGAGTTACGCGTGTGACTTGGAGCACAGAGCGTTGTTTGAATTTTCCTCCCTCGGAACTGCACTGCTAAACTCATTCACGCACACAAAGCGCTCCAAAACGCGCGTCAGCTTCCCCACAACGACCCGGGATAATCTCAGGAGCGATTTGCATCAATGTGAATGCTGCTTAACGCCACCGATAATGTGCGCGACACTTCCGAAACAGAAGAAACGTCAGTCATCCGTCCGTCACGGTGGCGTAAGTTGCTCGGGTGCACCAGGGCACCAGCAGACGTTTGAGGGATTTATAGGGTGTCCCGCCAACACCCGTCGCCGACGCGACGGGTCGATTCGCTAAATTACGGCCGTGTGTTACGTCCTCTCTCTCTGCCTCCCTCATTCATTTTCTCAGTCTCCGATATAACCGCGAGTTACCCGCCCCGCCGTTACTCTTCAGGAGGCGGATCATCGAACATCATCGAGTATACGTTCTCGTCGTATGACGCGGCGTGACGTCACGGAAGCTCGCGCCTACTAGGGGAGCAACGC